CCCACCCCTCCACCCTGCTTTTAGCTTAGCTTAGCTCACACCCCGCATCCCGGGGTGATGCCACAGTGGCACCCCGGTGGGTTCCCTGGTCCCAAGCAGCAGGGATGGGGACGGGGTGGCAGAGGAGCCCCCCCTGCTCCCGGGGCTGCCGTGGGGTGAGGGTGCTCCCAGACCCTCCTCGGATACGGGCATGGGGCGGGGGGACCCCGTGGCACCCATTGGGATATGAGGATGGGGTGATATCTCCCAGCCAAAGCTTTTGAGGTGGCCTTGGCTTGCCCACGGGACCCCCCAGCAGATTGGGGGGGGGTGTTGGGGGAGCTCGGTGCTGACGGTACCCCACCTCACAGGGAAGGGGGACCTGCAGCCCCAGCTGGACAATGCGCTGCAGGACGTCAACGACATGTACCTGCTGCTGGAGGAGACAGAGAAGCAGGCGGTCCGCAAAGCCCTCATCGAGGAGCGGGGTCGCTTCTGCACCTTCATCACCTTCCTGCAGCCCGTGGTGGTAAGCACCGGGGCTGGGCGGGGGGGTGCCGGGAGGGGGCTGCTGCTGCCCAGTGGGTGCTAATGCTTCCCTTTGGCCACAGAATGGGGAGCTCACCATGCTGGGAGAGATCACCCACCTGCAGGGCATCATCGAGGACCTGGTGGTGCTCACCGCCGAGCCCCACAAGCTGCCCCCCGCCAGCGAGCAGGTCAGCGGGGGAACCGGGACAGGGAGCAGGGGAAGGCGGGGAGCTTCTTTGGGGGGCTTAAACCCCATCCTGCCTGCAGGTGATCAAGGACCTGAAGGGCTCTGACTACAGCTGGTCCTACCAGACCCCCCCGTCCTCACCCAGCAGCTCCAGCTCCCGCAAGTCCAGCATGTGCAGGTATGGTGGGGTGGGCTCCATGCCTGACCGCAGCCCCCTTCATTAAACCCAGGGGGGGCTAACAACACTTATAACCCTTGGGAATGCTCCACGAGGTGCACCTCCACCTCCACGGGTCCCTATGGCAAACTGGTCCACAGTAATGCGGAGGAACTGGTGGTCTTGGCACACTGGGATGGGTAAGGGCTGGTGGACCGATGGGGCAGGACGGGTGCCTGGCACATGCCCCGTACTCCGGGTTTCCGGGACGATGTGAGCTGTGTGGGGGGTGGGTCTGGGGGCAAACGTGTCGCCTTTGCCATGTACCCCAGCCCATCCC